CGTCCAGACCCTGAATGGTATGGTAACAGTGAACAGAAATAGAAGGCTCAAACTACACCAGAAAACTTGCCCCGACAAAGGGTGCAAACCATGCTTTTTACGAATGGAATTACCAAATATTTTATGGTCATCCGCACTCAGAAGTACATACAAAATTTTCACGCATGTTATCGTTTCTGTCTTCTTTCTCTCCTTAAAAAAATCCTTTTTACTATTGGTGGTTGGAGGGCACCACTGAATGTCATACTTCTTTTCTTCCTCTTTCTCGTTTATCCTGTTTTTAATAACTTTTCATGGTTCAATCGGAGGTGGACATCAGAATTTCATCCGCTTGAATAACTTCACATTATTGAAAAAGGTGTTAAACGCATACCATTACCATTGTGTAATTGTTATTATATTGATGTTTTGCTTGCACGAAATGACAGTACGTGGGTTTTTCTTAACTGGAAGTCGTTAATCAAACCAAAGAGTCCCTTTTTATGTATCCTCTCGTAAACGTAATTCTTTCGAAATAAATGTTTTCAAAGTTACTCTGTAAAAAAGGCATTAAGCTCATAAAAAATAGTTGTGTAATTTCTATTACTTCCACAAAGCATATGCTTATGACACAAAGTGTCTCAATGGGGGGCATAAGACGTTTACAATACAATCACTTTTCTTTTTGCCCGCAGAAATCCTCGGAGGTGATCAGTAAAATCCCGACCATCATGTTGTCCATATCATTCAAAGGAGTCAAGTTCATCGATGCAGCTTCCAAGGTTTGTGGGAAGACGACAGATCTATTTGAAGACAACGAAAATGAGGGTGTTTGGTGGACGGCAGTCTGGGGTCATCTGTTGCTTATTTGGCGTTTATTTACTGTTTCTACCCTTATTTGTCCTTGGTGCAATGGGCTTTGAAACTTTTTTGCTCTAGTGTAGCTTGTTCTTTCTTTCCTATCAAATATCTATAGTCCTAATCTCTCCTTCTTTTCTCTGTGTTCCTCTTTAATAACGCCTCTAATTCCCAGCACTTATGTGACCTATTTGTGTTACGAGTACCGTTAAATTCTAGCAAATACTACGTTCTTTCAAACAGCCAGGGCACATGTTCTCCGGTTGTTAACATTCTCAAATATATTATTATTACTTCTGTGCTGCTCTCTAGTCTAAGGCGTGCTGGTCTTGTTCCTACGTTTTGGGGTCAGCAGTTGTAAAGCTCTTAGTTCTGAGCCCCGTCCTGCTATCCTTTAGCCAAAATATTTTGCCTGTCTGTTTTGTTTTGGGTTGTTTTTTTGTTGTTTTTTGGGGGGTTGTTTTTGGGTTGTTGTTTTGTTGGGTTTTTTTTTGGGGGGGGTTGTTTTGTTTTATTGTTGTTGTTCTTTTAGTTCATATGAATAGGATGTTGTGACTTTGGAAACTTACTTCACCATAAGTCTTGATTTGAACGTTTCAAACTTAGTGTATCTAATAGATGATTACTCCTGATTTGTCACCAACGTAATGATCAATTCGTGTAAAAATGAGCACTTGTTGTACAATGGCGCAACTGGCAGGACCTACTCTATTTTTTGCTCAATTGTACCTCTATCATGCTTTTTTCCAATTTTTGTTTACTCAAATTAAATAAAAACTCTAATAAATTTAAATGGATCAAAATGAGAAAAACAGAAAACATACACTCGGACAAACAGACTAATGAACTGACCCTTGTCTTCTCTGTCCCTCTGTGTCTATTCAGAAAGTGGTCTGTGACCACGAGATCGCCAACATCTTTTGCGCATGTCAGGACAGCGAGCACATGAACTTCTTCGCCTACATCACCAAAGACAGACAGGCGGGCAAGCACTATTGTCACGTGTTCAGCGTACGGAGCAAGGTAAGACAAAGTGTGACAGGAATCTTCAGATGAAGGGATGAGAGATTGTTTCTTTGTGGGGTTTTTTGTGCATTACTATGTTACTTGATGGTGCGGTGGCAGAGCGGTTAGTGTGCTCGTCTCTGAAGCGGAAAGTCCAGGTTCGAGCCTCGGTTTGGACACGGATTTCGCCCTCTCCTACCCACCCAGCTGTAATAGATACTTGACTTCGAGTTGGGGAAGTAAAGGCGGCGTGGAAAGGAACTGGCCACCCTACCACAACATGCTGAAGGCCCAAGAAGTTGTCTCACTAACAAGGCAATCCCCAATGTCCGGATCAGATGCGGGGACAACTTTTTACTATGTTACTCTCTTGTTTCACATCTGTTCTCCAGCACATATATGACTTTTTTGTTTTGCAAATGCCATAAAACTAGTACTAGTACTAGTACTTCTTGGGCCTTCAGCATGTACTGAGTAAAGAGAAGCATATGGGTGGTTGGCGGATGGTCTGGTGTGGTATGCTTCTTCGTCTCTCCCATCAACCTCCTATATTGCTGATAGCTTCCACTTCTTTATTGTGCTTGTTACTCTCTTGTAATACCGATAATCATCGGCATTTATATGACCTTTTTGTTTTGCAACTGCCGGACAATTTTTTTTACAAAAATTGTGACAGGATGTTTCAAATTAAGGGATGAGAGATCGTTAGTTTGTCTGAGTAAAGAGAAGCACGTCGGCACAATAATTTAGTGGTGGGAAAAATTAAGACCTCGCAACTCTTCAAATTTGTGCATCCATGACTCGTTTGGCCAATCTTTTCAACCGAACACCTCTGGGTTTTTTTTTCTGTAATTCTTCCTGCTTCCTACTCAACCCATAGGTTGAAAGTGCCCACCGCCTCCTAAATGGTCTGGAATGGGTTGGTGTAAAACATTTACGATTTACCAAACATAAACCCCACCCTTCAAAAACTCGTCATCATTACTGCTCAACGCCAAGGTAGACGTCCACCATAAACGAACTGCAATGACCCTGACCCATGAATCTCCCTCCACAACCACCCCTCTTTTTTTCTCCCTCACATAGATGGCATTTTTTTTATTTCTTCTGTTCTCCACATCTCTGCCCCTCAAGCTGTGGAAAACGACGTCGGCTTTTACTCCCCCTCTGCTTCTCTCCTGGCGTTTCTTCTATTGTGTCTAATAGTTATCCTCACCCCTTTTGCCTTTTGTTGCGGCTTTACATACCTCTAGGAAAATGCCTTCTTATCCTGTGGGTTTTATCATCTCTTGAAGTAAAAAAGAAAAAAAAAAGCCCTCAGCCTTTTGATGTGTGTGTGGGGGATGTTGGTCCTTTAACGCCCATTCTCTGTTGATTTTTTCCCCTCCTCCCCCCCTCTCTCCCTCTCTCTCTCTCTCTCTCTCTCTCTC